GATCTGCACCTCAGCCAGACATTTGAGCTGAAAGATCCATGTGGACACATAAAATACCCTTAGGAACAAACTCTGAGGGATTCAGAGCCTGAAGCTCAAGCAATTCCAGTAAAAAAAAAACCTCGCTGTCAGACCCCAGAAAACCTGCAAGGCACTTTGACACTACATTTCTGTAAAGATTTAATTTTGATGCTGAAGACAGGATTCTTGGGTGGGGATTCCAGGTTGGTTTGTTGGTTTTTTTTTTAAAAACAGTTTTTTGTTTTTTTTTTTTTTTTTAAAACTGTCACCTCTTCCCTCACCCCCATGAGCAGTAACTGGGGAAGAGGAACAAGCTCAGCTTTTGAAGGAAGTGGCCAATCCTTAATGGAAACCCTTCAGGAAATCAGAGAAACACCAACACCTGATGAGTCATCTCTGCAATCAACGTTTTCTCCCTCTCTACACAGCTTGACAACTCCTGCCTGAAGTTATTCAGCACCTTTTAGAGGTTTCTGCAATAAATTCATGCTTGTTGGGTCCAATTCTGAAACGGATTTCTACTTTGTGCAACCAGACAGCTTTCAGAGAGAAACCCAAGCTAAAAATTAATAAATAAATAAATAAAACAAATGCATCTGTGACCCTGGCCAGAAGACAGAGGATTCACTTACTTGCTGAGGTCCACACAACATTTTGCAAGCAGGTATTTGCACTGGGGGGTGGTACAGCTGTGTCCCTTGAGGAGCCTGTAAGCTTTGTAGGCCTTTCCTGAGCGGTAGTAACACGTTGCCAGTAAGAACAGTGCTTCTTCTGAGTGTACTGGACAGTAAAAGAGGTTTAAAAAAAAATTATCAGTTAGTTGTTTAGCATCATCGCACCTCAAAGGTTGTGCTTGCCCAAAGGTTCCACTCAAACCACCCTCACACAACGGGATTTAAATCCAAGGCTGTCTGGGAACAAACGCAACTGCAAACTCTAAATAATTAAGAAACCCACGCTACTTTAGCTACTTTTCAGGACATGCATTAAAGAGAACACAATGTTGATGTTTGTTCATCTCTACCTACAGGGAACTCTTTGGAAAAAGAGAAAAAAAAATCAATATGAGCACTGTACAAAAAAACCTCGTTGGGAAATCTGCCCAAATCCTTTGCTACACTGAAAAACTGAGTGTTTTAAGTGACAATGGAAATAGAGGATGGCCAAACAGAGGGCATTCTATCGGCCTCCTGCTAAAAAAAAAAAACACCAGAAGACCTCCCTGAAAATTCAAGTGGCATCAATTTTTTATCTGCTGCTTGAACAGACTCAGCCACGGATGTTCCCCACAAGGACAGTAATTGCAGGTAAAACTTAAAAGAAGTTTTTCCCAGGGTGAAATCACCGCTGCCAACGTGGAGCATTCAAGTTCTGCAGCTCCTGCTCTGCAGAGGAACTATTTTATTTGAACCAGGAGCCAGATGTTTTGTTAGCAGTTAATTGCTTGCACCAAGTGACAGCTTTCCTGCTGCTTTCCCCTCAGCACTGCTGGTCACTGGGAAAAAAAAAAAAAAAAAGCAGCTGTTTGAAGTTCTCCTGCAGGAAATTATTCTGTAAAGATGTGGCAGTGTTAAGTCAGGTATTTTTCTGCTAAAAAAAAAAAAAAAAAAAAGTGGATTCTCTTCGTTCCTCCATCCTTGGTAATTATCTTCAACCTACCATTTCTGCCAGCCCTAAAACACTGCTCAGGTTTGTTTAGCAGGAGAAATTGTATTTAATTATAGGTGTTTGGTTTTTTTTTTTTTTTCCCTAGTAGTGGTTAGAGGACAACACCTTTCAAAGTAGAGAAGGAAAAGCTGACCACCAATATCAAAGAGAAAGAAGCACAGGAGATCAAAAAGCTCATCTGAGGTCAGGGAAGAAAAGCTAAAGGAAGGAAAAGGGGCTAAAACACAACAAAAAAATGTGGTTGAAAGTCCCAGAAAAACGTGGAGAGATGTGTTACAGCTGCCTGCCCAGCAGCCAGGACATCCCAGACCTGATAGATTACAATCAAGTAACAATTAACAGGAATTCAACTGGAGACACCTGTCCCACATGTCCTGATTCTCACTGCCTGAATTTCTCTCACCATCACAAGATCCTTTCAGCCAACACACCAGACATGCAAGGCTTAAGGTTATTAATACCAGAAAACACATCACTGTAAACATTGCACTTAAATTAGACTTGGAGTTGTGTGGTTTTTTTAAGGAGGTTTTGCTGTAAAATAACATTGCTGTTGTTCCCTGCCTTGATTTTCCAACCTAACTGTGAGATACTCTTCTGCTTTCCCCAAGCAAAAAATGAAACTCCGCTATCAGAACAGGGGGGAAAAAAAAACCAAAACACCCCAAACAAACTGAAAAACCAAAAAACATTAAAAAAAATCACTTTTATATTTGTAAAACACATACCTTCTGCATACAACCTCTCTGCCAGGAACACGGCATCACGGTAGGCGTAGTGGTTAAGTGCTTGCCATATAGCAGCCTGCAAGGCAAGGGAATAAACCTGAATTTACAGGGAGCTTGAAAAGCGCAAAAATTCATCAGCTCTCGCTGTCAAGAGGCAAAGTTCAGTTTGGTTTTATTGGATTATAAAGGAAAAGAAAAGGAGGGAGGGAGGAGGATAAATACGCCGGTCAAGTTGGAGCTGTTTGGACTTATAAAATCCCACCAAACTTAGCACTGAAATCATGAACCCACCTCTTCACTGCCACTCATTAGGCCTGGGAAGCAGCACCCAAGAATGAGCGCAATGCAAATTAAACCCACTGCTGAATTCCTTCAGATCGGGTTAAAAGTCAGCTGTTATCTGTAGAAACGGGGTGGGATGGGAAAAATAATGTCTTTTAAGAGCTGTTCAGCCTTTCCTCCCCACCTGCTACAAGGGTAGTGGTGTGCAAGGCTTGTGCTCTGAGGGTTGGGACCAGGACAGCAGTTCCCTCCCATCCCATGTCTTTGCTCCAGTCCCGAAGCCAAAAGCCATTTTTTTGGCAGCAGTTTTGTCATTAACGACCCCAAACAAGATCTGAACTCAAGGCACAGCGGTCTAGGATCTCTCAAATATTCATCAGCAAGCCAAGGCAAGCAGGATCAGCTCCTGATACCCATCAAACACCCCAAAACTAAACGAAATCTTCCCGAGCGAAAGCAACACCGCCCCGCAGCGCAATTCCCGGCGGGAAAGGAAAGCGCCACTTCCCTCTCAAAAATAAATAAATAAATAAAAATAAATCCAAACATCACAGAGTTACATGTACCATATGCTCCTTCTCCCAACACAAACTTGACGAACACAGGGTGTGAAAACTGCGAATTCTCTTCCCGGGGAGCCCACACAGCCGTCATGAACAGCACACGCCAGAGATCCCAAGCGCTACACGCACACATTTACACACCAGATCTCCACCAGAGACACTGTTTTCAACCAGAACGCGCTCAAATAGCCAACAGGTGCTTTTTAAGCTGGTGTGAAAGGATTTGAAAGCGTTTGGAAGTGGATTCTCTTGGTCTGATCGTCCTAACACGAACTCCTGGTTATTCCTTGCTGGTTGTGTCCCACACTTATCTGAGTGCAGCCTCAGAGCCTGCCTGAAGTGATTGTTTACTCCCTGTTACCTTGAAGCACTCCCAGGCTGGCTGTGGCTCCAAGCAGTACAAAAACTGAGGCAGAAGGTCAGGGCTAAAAATCTTTCAGCCCAAGGTCTTTCTCTTTTGCTCCTACAAGTTCTTTTACTAAACCAGAAGCGACACCCAGATGAATCCAGCCAAGCTGTGTCATCTCCAGGTTCAAAACTCCTGCCTTTGCAGGGCTCAGCCAGCTTACAAAACAAAGGTGTGGGGGTGGGAGTGGTGAAATCGGGGTCATTTGACTCCTCAACCCAGAGCAAGTTGCCAGGAACGATCCTGCCAGAGGCTAAGAGGGGACACGAGGGATTTGGGGGCCACGTCACAGCCACGCTGTGAGAGCTGCACTGCACACCAGCTCAAATAACAATCGGGGCTGAGCAGAGCCCCACTGAAAGCATAAAGTGGCTGGTGGAACAGCCTCCCTTTCTTGTGCACCTTTCAGGACAGGAACATCAAAAATAAAGTCACATTCAGACAGGTCCATCTTCTATCCACAAAACCCCGTGTGCATTTTCCAAGTGTCACCTCATTCCTAAGCCAAACAGAGCTCTTAGGAGAGCTGTCCTCTTCTGACAGTCAGACAGCCTTGGGAATGAGCTGCAAAGCTTTTTTAGCCTGTATTGCCACGCTAAGCAGATTCCTACCATGATTTTTAAGATGTCTTCAGGGTGGGCAGAGGGGAGGAGAGCTCTGGCTGAGCTACCAAACTCTGCCCACCCAGTAGACAGACCCAGTCCAAGCACCATCCAAATGAGTCACAGCAGATGAGCACCTTGAACAGCTAAATTCCAAGCAAAGGGCTCATTTCATTTCCAAGATGTTTTGCAGAAGGATCTGGAAGGCAGCCAGCCAGCCTGGAATACAAAGTTTTAGGCTGTGTTTAAAAAAAAAAAAAAAAACAACAAAAAAAATCGACCACATCAGAGCTGTAAACTCTGGCGTTTTGTTCAACTTCCAGAATTAAAAGTTAGTAAAAAATCTAACCAGCCACCAGGATGTCTTCTGGGATGTTCATTTGGTGTAATTACAGCACAGTATTTGTGAAGCTACATCCAAACACGAGTCCTGTTATTTCTCTATCACACAGTGAGAGGTAAATAACATCACAGCTGTAAGGGGAGGGCATTTTTCTCCTGGAATACTGAGCCCTGGAGACACCTGAAAGGCTGGGAGAGAACTGACAGGCAGGAAAAAAAAAATAAATCTCTGCAATGACAAAAATGAGAACTAGTGTTTAAAAAATCAGAAAGACAGAGTGAAGTGCACGGACTTCAGCTAAGCTGGGAATTCAGGAATTCAATGGGCTTCACCCAATCACAAATAATTTCTAAACTTACCAGTCCTGCTGCAAGCAAGGAACAGCAGCAAAAGCAGGGCTAAAGGAGCGATTTGGCCTTTGAAAGCAGAATTTAAGCAGGTTATTTTCAATCTAAACAGATATATTCAACATGGCAAGGCCTCATCGAAACACCCAAGGTGGTAAGAAGAGGTTAAGAAGGGAGAGGGGCATTAGAGAGGTCTTTTTCCTGGCTGGAACACGAAAGTTTTCTGTCAGGGAGCTCGCAGAACAGCACATATTTTCCACTTGGTCAGTCTAATTAGCAGAGCACCGGAAACGTTGGGTATTGTTTCCTGTCCTTCACTCTGCTCTGCATTCCTGCTTCCTCTCCCATTGTAATCCCGGGTTTTCCTGGAGTACCCCCAGCCGGTGCCAAACACCCAGCCCATCTCCAAGGGGGTGGGATGAGCAGGGCAGGACAGGGCAGAAGCTTTTCCAGCGCTGCACTGACCCTTGTCCTCAGAGCGGTGGCATCGAGGCCACAAACCCCTCACTGCCACCCCCTTGCACAGGCAGGGGGGAAAAGCCAGAAGGGTGGTTTTCCACAGGAGGAAAAAACCCTTTCTTCCCCCTTCCACCTTTCCATCAGAAGGAAAAGAGCCAAGAGCAAGAATTCTCACAGTGTTCATTACAAAACATAACCGCGTTCTGCCAGGACTCCTATGCCAGGAACCTCTTGCTGTTAACTAGAAGACAAAAAAACCCCAAAAAGCTAAAAATAAGACTAAAATAAAGAACGAGAACATGAATAAGATGACTGATTAGCGAAGATCACGAATAGTTGCAGAACGGGCACACAGCAAGTGTGGAAAGAAAAAGCAACTCTCCAACGTGTGAATCACGTCTTCTGGATGGCAAAGAGCACGAAGCCCATCGGGGGCAGCCGCAGCGAGACCCGAGACGTGATAGAAAACCGGAATTCACATTATTTTCTCTCCCAGGTCTCCCACCAGCCCGAAGGGAGCGGGGAACGTCCTTCACTCTCACACGCAGGAGCCGAGCACGCCGTGAGCATTTCAAAACCTCACGGCAGCAGCAAACGCAGCAAGGTGAGCGAGGTATCAACAGGTCTCCCGGGGGATCTGCGGCGGAGGGAGGAGGTTGGGGGGCTGGCGGGGCCCTTCCCGGGAGCCAAACCGGCCGCGGAGCGACCGAGGGGGGACCCGGGGGCGGTGGCGGCCGGTCCCGGGGCCGCGGGGATGGGGCCGGCAGGCTGGAAGGGGAAGCCCGGCGGGAGGGAGGGAGGGCGGAGGAGCCGGAGGTCCTGCGGGCCCACGGCCGAGGGGAGGCCCCCCGGGAGCGGCGCGGGCGGGGCGGCCTCACCCGGGCCGGGCCGGGCCTTGGGGCCTGAGCCGCCCAGGGGTCGGTACCTGGACGGGTTCCTGCAGCACCGTCATCCTGCTCTCCCCGGCCTCCGCCTCCTGGTCGCCGAGCCCGAGCGGGGGCGGTCCCGGTGGCGGCGCCGGTGCCGGCCCAGCTCAGAACGAGTCCCGGCGGGGCCCGGCCCGGCCGCGGCTCATTTGAACCCGCACCGACCGTTACCGGAGCGAGCGAGGCCGGCGGGCGCCGAGTCCGCCCGAACCGGCGGCGGAAATACCCGAACGGCGCGCCGGAAATACCCGAAGGCGAGGGCGGAAAGTGCCGAGCGCCGACGGAAAACAGCTGGGAGAGCCGCGCTCGGCAGCGCCGCCGTGGCGGAGATGGCCGAGCCGGGCCGGAGATGGCCGAGCCTGGACGATGATGGCCGAG